TTTGATTTTTGTGTGATTTTTTGGAGGGTGATCATTGTAAAATTTAGCCAATGAAATCCAAGTCATGATGTGATAAACGAATGTCCATTATGCTGCCTTATGTACATGAGGAATGTGTGTGAATGACTGTAAAGTGTTCAAGGTAGCGTGCGTGCTTCAACACTTGTAAAATTTCCGTTGCATATTTGAATTGTTTCTTTTTCAACAGTCAATGCTGCCTTGACATCTTGTAATTATAATAATATAATAATAATAATATAATTACGATTACGCAAAGCAAAATATTATCAATGAAAATCTTGTAATTACCCAGCAAGATCTGCTCTGTGTTTTGATTTCCAATTAAAATATTTATAAGCTAAAATAAAAATATCAATCAATACAAATAAAAAAAAGTACCTCTGGTTAGTTATTAACACGTATTCTTTAGGAGACCCAAACCAAACAACAACACTCACGTTTTGTCACCTTGGGCTCTGTCAAAAAATAAATAAATTGTTTTTCCAAAAAAAAAAAAAAAAATCAATCAATTCGTGTCTGTCCTACCAAAAAAAAAACCAATAGGATAAATAATTAGCATGTACGAGTCGATCAAATAACAAACTTCTTTTAATTCTTTTCTTAAAATATGCCGCCAAAAAGGAAATTCCATCAAAGAAACAAAGAAAATGAAGAAGAATTTGAAAGAGGGTAAGTGTTTTAAGGATGGTAGTGGTGGTTATCGCCTGCCACTCGTCATTACTCTAGTTAATCTTACAAATCTTTTTTAAGAAATAGTGAAATTGGTAAAGAATTAAACAAGACAAGGGTGGATTATGAGAAGGTGTTGAAGAAGTTGGAGCAGTTCGAGGAGGAGTGGAAAGAGAAGAAGATATGGGAATTGGAGGGTAAGTTGGATGACAGAATTTGGAGGAACGAAGATCAAAAGAATAGTTGGGAAAGGCAAAGGGACGAATTGAAAAAGGAAAAACAAGAGTTGAAAGAGAATACAAATGACTGGAAGGAGCAGATGAAGATTTTACAAAATGCACTAGTTGAATTTAGCAAGAAAGGAGAAGGTAATGAATAAATTGCGTAAAAAAATATACAAAAAATTATTTTCCATTTCGTTTATTTATTTATTTGATATATTGTTTACAATGCTGACTAACTTGTTTCTTCCTTGCAAATTGCACTGAATCATAGTAGGAAAAGTCAAACGTAAATTTGAGGAAGAAACAGAAGTAGAAGAAGGTAACATCAGGAAATTAATTTAGTGTAAACTTGCATAAATCTTACGATGCCAACGTAATATTGTGTAAATCTTACAGTGCCGAACGTAAGTTTTACACTTTTTTATTATTAAACTTACAATTGACACATGTAAAATTTTTTTATATTTTCCGGATGAAAGTAAAATGATTTAATATTCCTCATAAAGTGTGATAATGTGAAACAAAATAAATTTATCAAATATTTTCCTTCATAATAGGCCCAATTAACAAATTAATAAAAATAAGCAAAAAAAAACGACCAAGTGCATCAAAATTTGCAGAAAAAGGTAAATGGGAATCCTTGTTGAGTGACAATGATCCTCCTTTTTATATTTGCCGCCCAACTGGAAAATTTGATATTCCATTGACACTATGTCACCCTGTTTTTGAAAAGTTCATGCTTGATTGTGAATCAACATCGTTTGATGATGAAAGAAAAGAAAAAATTTTCAAGTTAGCATGTGCAATGGGAAATACTTATGATTCAGAAAATGACAGGGAAAAAGAATTTGAAAATAAACTTAACAGTTTTTTGGGGTATAATATAGATGGAAAAGATAGGAAGAAGAGGAATTGTAATGAAGAAGTTAGATTTGATGCATTAGTAAAGTTAGAATACTCAAAATCAGAAAGGGATGCCTTGTTGGTAGGATTTGAATACAAAAATGAATCTTCGAAGGTTGATCCATATGTGCAAATCAGCACATACTACCAAGAATATGTGGTTCAACATGCTGAAGATGATGAAGACCTTATCCTGAACTAAGGTTGCGGGAGAAACTCCTCCAGAAATCAATCGACAGAGTTTCGACAGGTTACACATTAATTGTTTATTAGAGTTTCGGCAGAGTTTCGCATTTGGGGTTTTCACCAATCATCAGAGTTTCGACAGGTTACACATTAATTGTTCATTAGAGTTTCGACAGAGTTTCGACAGTCATTAAGAGGTTTCGCCCACAACCTTATCCTGAACACTTGCATGCCATGTTTTCTAGTTTGTTTGCATGGCACACAATTTGAGATTGCAGGCACTGTATTTGGGGAAAGAGTTACAATATGTCCTTTAATTGCAGAAAATCTTATAGTCAGACCTGATTTTTTTGAATCATGGATAAATCAACTGACAAGAATATTTTGTTCTTTACATGAGGCGATTAAAACTTTGGAAAAATACTATAGTGAATGTTTATTAGTTCCAGAAAAAAGATTGATAGAAACGTGGGAAGGTTTCCATGGATAAGGTCATACACAAAGGATTCTTTAGTGGTATCTTTTCAATACAAAAAACGTTGTGTTGACATTTTACAAAGTCTGGTGTATCTTGTAGAAGAGAATGATGATACAAAACACATAGTCAAGTTTTCTGAAACTTATGGTTATGATGCACACAGTTTCTGTGCTGAGCATCAAATAGCACCAAAAATCATTCATTATTCAGACATAAATTCTGGGTATAAATTTATTGTAATGGAATATCTTGATGGATATGAGACTATAAATTCATTGTTTTCGAAAGTAAAAAAAGAAGATTTGAAGGAGATAAAAAATTCTATAAAAGTTGCTGTAGGATTATTACATGACAAAAACTTTGTTCATGGAGATTTTCAACTAAATAATATACTTGCTAAAAAAGTAGAGGATAGATGGGTTATAAAAATTATAGATTTTGAATGGGCAGGTCCAGAAGAAAAATTAGATATCCATATGTGACCATGAATCCAAAGATCAAATGGCACAATGAAGTGAAACCTGGAAATTTAATTAGAAAATCACATGACATACATTTATTAGATGAAGGCTTTATTACTCCTCAATGATTAAAAAATTTTTATTATGTATTTTTACATTTGCATTGAAGAAATTATTATTAATTGAAAATAAATAAATCTAATAGAATTTATTTATGTTAATTGCCATATTCCCTATTATAGCTAAAATAGATAAAGTTTCTGTATATCCAAATTCTGTTAACCCATACTCAAAATAACCTTTATGTTAAAAAAATCATTAGATAAGAAAATAGAGATATAAATTTTTGAAGGTAACTATTTGCTTATTCATAAAAAACCTACAAAGTGAACATGAAATTATAAAATTATATACAGTGTGTAACAAAAAAAACTGGATATTTTTTTATGCAATTTAAACGCGTCTCACGCGTTTGTTTTCTGTCCAATTTGAGAGATATAAAATGGAAAATAAACATGATAATCAGGAGTAAATTTGAGCATTGTTTACAACCCTGAACCTTAGTGTACTTTTTGCTTTATGTAAAAACACAATGCCCGCTTCTAAACAAGAAACACAACGTCAATGCATATTACAATTGTGGAATGAAGGCATTCACAATGGCCAAGAAATTCATCGCTGAACAAACATCCCATTGTCTACTATTTATGATAACATTAAAAAAATAAAAGAAAAAGGGATGGTGGAGCACATACGAGGAAATGGTCGGCCCAGGAAAATAACTGGGAATACCTCCAAGATGATTGGACAATCAATACGGAGAAATGACTCAATTTTCACATGGACCTTAGCTCAAAAAGTGTCGAATACAGGTGTTGATGTGTCACATATGACAATTTCGAGGCACCTGACCACTTATGGGTACTCGAAAGCATTGCCTAAACAAACACCTATGTTAACCGAAGCCCATAAGCAAAGGCGTGTTGAGTGGGCACGTCAGCACCTTAATGACAATTGGAGGAAGACATTATTTTCTGATGAAACCGCGTTTCAACTTTACCGAAACACCATCGAACGTTGGTACAAAGGTGAGCGGCCAATTCGTCCCATGCCCAAAGATCGCACAAAAGTTTTTGCATGGGGCGGATTTTGTGTAGTCGGAAAAACAAGTTTATTTTGCTTCAGGAGGATAATGGATGCCAAATTTTATGTAGAAATCCTCCAGAAACATATGCCGGAAGTAAATAGGATGCTTGGAGGTAGATGGAGACTCCAGCAAGACAATGATCCAAAACACACGAGTCGTCTTGCTACAGAGTTTCTGAAAGAAAACATTCCGGCGGTTATGGACTGGCCATCAAATAGTCCCGATTTAAATCCAATTGAAAACCTTTGGGGAATTGTTAAGAATAATGTAGAGAGGCGTATGCCAAAAAATCTTGGTGAACTAGAGAGATTTATGATGGAGGAGTGGAATAGAACTCCGGAAAGCATGTTAATTAATTTAATAGAATCAATGAGACAACATTGTGAGCTCATTATTGAGAGAAATGAAGAACGGATTTCTTATTAATTATTATCAATAAATTTGGTTGTTTTTATCTTACAAATGACCCATTTTTTATAAAAATTGACTGACTCATTGAGGAGCAATGGCAAAATAAAAATATCCAGTTTTTTTTGTTACACACTGTATATATATATATATATATATATATATAGTATAATTCATTAAATTCTTAGAAAATTAATTAATTGATTTCTTTTTTCTTCTCCTGCTCTTTTCAACCCCAATTCACTTTCACATTCCATGACCAAGTTTGCATCATTGTCATTATAATCATTCACATCTGCTCCTTCATCCCAAATTTCCCCATTTAACTCTAAAAAATTATGCAAGATTATAGCACATTCTGTCAATCTAACAGCCATTTTGATACTTTTAACATTTAATTCTCTTAGTGCAACAAATCTAGATTTAAGTCTGCCAAATGCATGCTCTACAACTATTCTATGTTTAGAGTGAAGTTGATTAAATTGAATTTGTGTAGAGGTTTGAGAAACTTTAAAAGGTGTAAATCATAAAAGGGGAAATTGGGTATGCAGAATCTCCTAAAACAATATCATCATCTTTAATAAAGTCTCTCCTATTTATATAGAACTCAGAATTGGAATACACCCTAGCATCATGAACACTGCCTGGCCAGCCAATTAAATAATTGGTGAATATTCCTCTATAGTCAACTATAGCCTGGCATTGTATTGAGTATCTTTTTTTACGATTAAAAAAAACTTCTGGGTCTTTAGAAGGAGCATTTGTTAAATTGATGTGTGTTCCATCAATTGCTCCTATTACATTTGGAAACCCACCAATTTGTTGAAACCCACCTAATATCTCATGTCTATATTGTTCAACTGGCCATTTGACATAATTATTTTTTGTCTCTAAAATAGCCTTTATTATACGATTTGTATATAGAATAACAGTTCCTTCTGAGATTCCAAACAAACTAGATGTGGTAAAAATATCTCCTTTAATGGCTAGTCTTCTAAGAAACACAGATACTTGAAAATTAACATCTATTTGTTTAATAAAGGCATTTGTATGAAATATTGGATTAATCTTTAAAATATCTACTAATATATTAAAATTAGATTTGGACATCTGAAAAAAAAATTTAAATCT